GTCTTCTTGATATGGTCCCCAGCTGTACTTCAACTCACTGCAGCTTGCGCTCGAACCCTCAGTCTGCCTCAGCGCAACATCAGCAGCAATGAAAATCATCAATTATAATCATAAGTCTGGTGATGTGGCTTAGCATGCCCGCACGCGAGCACGGTGCTACGGGCGTGTGGGGTGTGCGTCACTTGTCGAGAACGAGAGCGTTCTTGAAGACTGCGTATATGCCTATCGGTGACTGCACACGTTGTGCAAAATGCTCCAAGCCCTCGGATAGATCGAGATCGTTGGCACCTGCCATGCGTCGAGCGACGTGGGCCGACCGCAGAGTGCCGAGCGTCATGCGGCCTGACTGAGAGGGTATCTATATGTGCGGCAAGATGTAGTATTCGTGATTGAAGTGCAGGGAAAACTGCGTAACAATTGAGTATCTGGACGACCTGGGCAGAGCCAGGTCGGCAAAAGTGAAATGCCGTGCTGAGATTTGCTCGCGAGGTGCGCACTCCAGACGTGTCCGGTGGACTGGTCACGCCTCCCCGATGCCGTCGCCAGGCCAATCGATCCAGTCGACGCTGATTGCCACAGCAACGACAGTGAGGCAAGCAACCAGGAAGCAAGCGCTCCACATCCAAACTCTCTCCTTGGCCGTCGTGTGTTCAAAGTCGAGGACCGGCGCGGGTCCAGCTCCATGCTCGTGCGTGGGATCGGATCGACGAGGATCATAACGTTGGGCTTCCAAGTCCAGCTCGTCTTGCTCCTCCTCATGCTCGTCGCCCCGAGACAGGAACGGCACCGATTCTCCTTCTCCGCGCGCCTGTGGACGAGCAGCCGATAAAGGCGGTGACGCTGCTGCACGAGCAAGAGCGCCATGACCCGGGAGATCGTCCGAGTCCTCAAACGACTCGGCATCCTCGAGGGTCTCGAGACCGACCTTACTCCCTTGCCTATTGCCCTGCAAACGAGCCAGCTCTTGTCTCCTTCGGCCTTCTCGGCCGTCTTGCTGCGTTGCGCTGCCTGTGGCGGATCTGGTCTGCGGCGTCGGGTGGGTTGAATGCGCTCCATCTGCGGCAGAGACTGGCGGTGTCCCGTTGAACGGCACAGCATTCTGCGAGAGGGAGCGTGTTGCTAGTTCGACATCCACATCCAACGCAAGACCGAGGAGATGCGGTTGTCTAGCCAGCGATCGACGCGTACGGTTTGCAGGTCGTGAAGCGTCAGTGGATGTTCTGGTGGAAGATGAGGTGGTGCGTTGTCTCCCAGCAGGGCTGCCAGCAGCTGGAGAGTCCCTCACGTCAGCAGAGGCAGAAGCTGCAGGAGATTCCCAGGCCGTTGCTGGACTGAACATGGTCGATCTTTGAGGCCAAGTATGCGAGCACAATCAAATTCGAGGAGCGCTGACCATGACTTGAGCAGGCCTGAGAGTAAGCCTGTGTTCGTTCCCAGCCTAGCACCCGTTACGCAATGTCGACGTGCGCGAGGAGGCAGTACAAGGCGGATCAGGCCTCTGCGTATGCGGTTTCAGCGAAGAGAGCGCTCCCCTGGCTAGAATCGAACTTTGCGTTTGTGTCGGAGCACTCGCAACGATGGTGAGGGGGATAGCGCTTGGTCGGGATCTGTGAAGATTCGGTGTCTGCAGGTATGGGAGAAGAATTGCAAGGCGGCTTGGCTTCCTGACCTCGCGATCTCGCTGCTCTTGGCCTTGGGACTCGAACCACGATCAGCAGCGTCGTTAAGTCATGGGCCTGCTTCCAAAGCCAGACTCTGACCTTCGCAGAATCGCAGGTGACGTGAAGTCTTGAGTGTTGTTCGCATCGGCCACAAGAGCTTCATCAGCTTTGAAACAATTTGAATCGCAGGTTACGAGTGTGCAGTTGCAGCTATATAACGCTGCTGCTGATCGCGAGAAAGCTAAAAACGATTCACGTGATGTCCGCGGAGGTTGTGCCGCGGCGGTGAACGCGCAAGGCCGCGTGCGCGCGGGTGATGCTCGTCCCATCATGCACACATGGCGCGTACTGTATACAGCATAGCAGCAGAGCAGCATGTTCACCAAGGTGAGACGACACATCGTCGGCGCAGGGCAATCACCTCTCTCTATACAAAAGTTACGAGTCTATACAGCAGCCGTAAGCGA